ATGAATGAACGAATGGGCCAAAGGCCAGTTTGACAAGAACGAAAGTATGAATGGGCCAAAAGCCAGTTTGGTATGAATGAAAGTATGAATGGGCCAAAGACCAGTTTGTTATGAATGAAAGTATAAATGGGCCAAAGGCCAGTTTGACATTAATGAAAGAATGGTTGGGCCAAAGGTTAGTCTAGCATGAATGGAAGAATGAATGAGCCAAAGGCCGTTTGACATGAATGATACGAATGAATGGGCCAAAGGCCGAATGTCATTTATGACAGGAATGAATTGACCCCGAGGCTGTATGACGTGTTTTTAACCGCAGTCACTTGACCTATATTTATATATATGCTAGATAGAAACACGAATTGGGCCGAAGGCCGTTTGAAGCACGTTGTTCTAAATGCCATTTGTGTAACTTTTTTATTTGATATTATTCACTGGGCTTTCGCTCATGCTCATTCATGTGTCTATAGGCGAGCCAAGGGAGGTCCCACTATTACAAAAACAGATAAAGATCACATTTTTTTAGTGTGATGTATGTTTTTTAATCACACCTTTTAAGTTTTATTAAAGTGTGGTCTTTAGGAGTGTGATTAAAAATGGTCATTTTTAATCACACTTTTTAAGTGTGCTTAATAACATTTAGATCACACCTTTTAAGTGCGATTAAAAATATTTAGATCACATCTTTTAAGTGTGATTAATAACTAATAAAATCTGTGATAAAAAAAAGGTGCTACATATTTGAAAAATAATCAATATTATTTTTGTATGCACATTTGAAGAATGTAATACACACTATATACTATATTTTGAATCATAACCACATATTGAATAGAATAACGTCATATATTTCATAAATGAAAATTAAATATTCAAAAGTATATACAAAGGAATTAAATAAAAAAAAATTAACTGTGCTTACATATATTAAAAAATGAAAAAACTTAAAAGCTAAGTTCTTTAATTCTTGGACCATATTTCGCATTTCTCCAAAAAATTTCTGACCTGAAAAATGAAAACACAAATTAATCCAGAAACCGCTGATGCATATGAATAAACTAAAAAGTTAATTCAGCAAACCAAAATAGGAACATTAATCATTTCTGCTTGATCTTAATCCTTTTGAAAGTAACTTCCCTGTTAACAATTAGATGCCATAGCAAAGTTCACGGTCATAAGTTGTTCATTAATGTACCTAAAACAAAAAATTTATGTCAGATTCAATATCATTATACACTAGATAATGATGAAGAAGATAGTGTAGTTGAGCTAGTAGAGGTAGTTACTTGTCACGGACTAGTAATCGGCCACTAACTGTACCCCGTTGATCAGCATGAGGGAAGTCTTCTGAAAGAGGGAAATCATATGGCCAACTTTGGGTTTCTATCAACATCTGAATATATGCATATGATGAGATTGTTAATTTTGTTTTTACTGATTAGATTTTATGTTGTCAAAAATTTCATGCCCAAAGTAGTACCTGTTCTTTGGCATCTTCCCAAAGTGTTAGGGCATCCTCTTCGACTGAAACTGAGTTTAGATAGATCAAAAGAGGGCCAAACACCTTCTTCCATGGCTCGCCATCTCACAATTTTATTGTCAGGTTGTCCCCAGCATAATGGGTGCTGAAAAACATCTGAAGATAAATAACACAATCCCTTAACATTAACATCTAGTAGTAAGGAAATTTGTAAAAATTTAATTATATATAACATTTTCCACTTATTGAAAGTGCAAGCTGCTAGTTACAACTTCAAGAATCCACACAGAGGAAACATAGTAGTAAGAAACAACAGACAAAAATAGACAAAAAAATGCACACATTGGCTGGAACTTCTAAACCAAATGTAACTATGACAGTTCCGTCAAGTGTAATGAAGCCCAAAAACAACGTCAATAAGGAGGTGATATTGTTCAAACTGAAGGAGCTAATATTAAAATTTAGACACGAAAAGAGCATGGGTGATATAAACTTTATAATCCAATTGCAGATATTGCCCGGGGTAAAGGACTGCAGCAAGCAAAACTGATCACAGTACTTAGCTTGGCTGCAATTCAATATCAATTAATACACTCTTTAAGAGTGTTAAAGATTCATATATATCCCTCTAGACTACTTAAGTTACTCTTGGTTATTTTATTCTTTTTGCTTTCTTTTTTTCAAACCCCGTAATTTTTTGAGATCACCACAACTACCAATTGTGCATTTAATCAATTATCTTCCATCAAAATCAATGAAACCAAACAAGACCAAGTGATAGGTGCACAATCAAAATGTAAAAAGTATTATCAGGTATCAAGCCAAGCAAACCTCTTGTGTATCTCTGCTATTAGTTACAGGCTTATTCTCATTGTTCTCTAAAATGATGTGCCGAAAATTGGGGTTAGGAACATCTTTTATAATGTGCCACTTCACAGGGAAACTTCCACTCCATTTATCTTGCTGCCAGAAATCCATATCTTTATGGAAGTCAATAGGACCAGTCATTTCTGCAACACCACAGAATTGGCCACTTGCATTAACCTGCATTTAGAAAATAGAAAATCAAAATAAATTTAAAAAAAATTAAAACCCAGGTTAAGGAAGTCAAGCAAAATGAAATAAAGAGCACAAATGTGTTTTAAAACAAATATAATTGCTTAACAAACAAACTTGTGGAATATAATATTTCAGAGCAAAGGACAAAATTAGTGGAGTATCACTCACAGAAAAAAACAGGAAGATAGGACAGCCTCTTGGTTCCCCGGAGGCTATTCTCTGTGCATCTTCATATGCACTCTGCAGCTTCTTGTTTCCATTGGAAGTAGATGACCAAACATTATATTTAATGCCCTTGTGCACATCATCCTCACTATATGATTTTATTACAAAGAACTTCGCATTCACATAATCTACTGGAAAATCATCCTTGTTATACTCGTCAGTATAGATAATGATGTTTCCTTGTGCATCACTCTCTCCAGCTCTAGTTGTGTAGGCTTTCACAGCCAAGTGATTCTTGGATTTGTTGGTTCTAGGGCCTCGATTTTGTTCAGTCAATGCATCTGGACTTCCATTCACATCATTCGATACTCTACCATAGTGGAAGTTGGATCGAATCTTTTCCACTGCAGCCCCTCCATGAGCACTTGACCCAAAATTAGATAAGCCATTACTAGAAGTGAGAGCCATTTTTAGTTGGTTACGATGAGACAAAGCCTTCCCATGTGAAATGTTATCTACAGCTTGAGCACCCCTACCCTGTAAACACAAAAGTTAGAAAACAAACTTGGTAAAATGATGCCAAAAGGCAATAAAAGACCATGATTGTAAAAACTTGCTACTTTTGGCCAAGGGGGTGCCAAGGAGCGTGTCTAATTTGAAGCAAGCTTTGGGGCAGTCTGTAAAGTTGCAGATGCTGGAGACAGATTATTGTGACCTGGCCCATCAGTTCTATGTGCAGTAAATACACCAGTATCTAAGAAGGGTTCAGTTGTACTACTTGAGACCATCTGTGGCCAAGATTAGATGACCATGGGGAACCCAGAAGGCGAAGACAAAGGGTTTTCATAAGATGGGATGGCATAATACTGTTGCGTCCCTACAAATGGGCCATCAACTCCTAACATAGCATCAGGAATGTAAGGGTTGTATGGGTTATATGGAGACTGTGCATAGCCATAGCTAGGTGTATAATATACATAAGGCAAACTTTCAGTTTGTGCACCCTGAAGAAGAAGAAAAAAAAATCCATTAAGCAAAACTACAAACAATATGGAACTTGTGTTTGAAAAACAAAAAGCAAGAGATGATACAAACCGTGTACTGAACTTCTTGACCATCCAGACCAAAAATCCTATGGTGGTCATCCCAATCGCTGGGTGATTCAAATCCTGATCATATCGAATCAATGTAACACATAAATGAGACAATACAAATTAGCATCCTAATCTAAAATAGGATAGTGGATAAAAATTTACCTGTACAGATGTACCCATAATTGGTGGCAGTAGGGTAATACAAGCCTTGTTCAACTACAAACTCCGGGGCTCCTTCGTTGTACATGGCGTCAAGTTGTTTAACAGGTGGACTTGTAAGATGTGCATTTGGCTCGGTGCCTTGAATCTAAAAGGCCAAGACATGAGATTTGATTATATATTTTGTTATAAACAAAATGACAGATACACACAATGAAGACTCAGCCTTGCCAAACCGTTCAAAATAGGTCTTCATTTGATCGAAAGAAGAGCAATTGCTGAGGAATTACCAGATATGTTTCTGCATTTCCATCAAAAACATTATACATTTCCATCCCAGGGACTGCCACCACTGTGAAACAGATTTGATATGGTGTAAGCAAACACAAAACTCCAATATATAACAACTAAGAATTTTTAAAATTACTTATCTCTACTACACCATTGTGTTGTTGAGTACTAGGAATAATCAATTTTCTAAGCATCTATCTCTCTTCACAGAGTTTTCTAAAATAACTCAAATAGATACTCGCCTCCTTGGTCAAAACTAAAGGCATGAAAGCTATTATCTCATTGATCTCAACCTCATATGTGCTATGTCAAAAATCATCTCAAAACTTTTGACTTATGGGAGATCAAATAGTCTTGACTCAGATGCGTATCGTAGTCTATAAATGTGTCGATCTTGAGGCTTAGCTATCATACCCTTACATATATCTAGTCACAAATATCATAGTGGACTAAATGCGCCAAAACAAATGACCTTCTACGGCTTTCCTACTTACTTGTGCGAACCCATTGCGAAAA